GGATACCGTAAAACCTTGAATTGAAGCCCAGTGGGCTTAATCTTAGGAAGAAGCCCATCTCGAATTGAAGGGGCCCCTCCCCATTTTAGCCTCTAAAAGAAGCCCATGGCCTTCTTTTGAAGAAAGCATAGGCTTTTTTCGAGATAGTAAAGTACATAAACTGTACATGAATGTAGAAAAACAAAATTTAAAACACGCTTGGTTTATACAGTAGTTTGAGTGATTTAATGCCAGTTAATACACTCCATGGTACAGATTGATGTTTTATAATTCTCAAAATTTACAGCATTCGTTTTGAAAAGAAGCCCCCTCTTTACTTTGCAAAAGTATCCTCAAAAAGAAGCCCATCCATAGTCCGCATAAAAATGAAGCCCAGGGCTTCAATTCGAGGTTTTACGGTATCTATATATGTATGTATATACCTGTAGTATATTACTTTATAAATAAGTTTATGTATACTGTGCATAAAAAACCTGTCTGCTGCCCTCTATATCATCATTACTTTCTTTTCTTGATTTTCTAAATTTTAAAATTGTTTATGACATAAACGTCTTATAAAGTTAAGTGTATTCGACCAGGGAAAGTTCCTTTATTTGTTGATCATTCATTTAATGAAGTTGAATTTATAAAATCTATTAATTTAGATGTCAGCCTATAATAAATTGTTTTTCTCACAAAATAATGCGTGTTTTATGATTCTAAATTCATTCACATATACATTTTAACAGGTCCTTGTAAATTTCTATGTTTTGACTATCCAATTATTTATCATAAATAAATTGTTTTTCCAAAAGATAGTTTTAAGATTCCAAATTCACATTAAATAGGCCTAAATACTGCTATTATGCTTTTAATAATTTTGCTTTTAATAATTTTAATTTAATAATAGCTTTTAATAATTTTAATTTAATAATTGCTTTTAATAATTTTGCTTTAATAATTATGCTTTTAATAATACAGTACAGTACCTCTGTTTCAGTCACAAAAAAGGGATAATACATACTTTAAATAGGCCTAAATACTGCTATTATGCTTTTAATAATTTTACTACCTTGCATTACCAGTCACAAAAAAGGGATAATACATACTTTAACACTACGCCCAACCCTTATTAGGAGGACTTTTGTTTTTGGTCCTGAATGTCCCCCTAAGGGGTTCTACTGTGTATCTCTATAATAATAGACTTATGCTGCAGCCTCTAAATACATGTGTGAACATGCTGAACTGAGAACAGGCTGATTATGTTGGCCTGTCGCATTCAAATCGATGATATATAAAGATAAATTATACAGGCCCCTTACTGTCTGTGTTGAGCTAATAAAATTGAAAATTAAATATTTTATTATTGTTTCCTTTGTATATTGAATGTTACCTGATAAAGCGAAAATTAAGAACGCGCGAAAATGGGATACAATATGCTTTCGAAAATGGTGTTTTCCCATCGCAAAGTAATAGACGCAAAAGTAATACGGTACTGTCTATTTTTTTCAAATTGACAGACAAGTTGATTTAATAATTTCTTAGTAAAACATCCGTAAATCAGTCTAATTTATGTGTCTGATACAACGTATCGATCTATTGATGAGCGGTAATTTAATGCCAATTTGTGAGAAGTTTTCTTTACCGTGTTTTATTGTACAAAATGTTTATGTCTTAAAATGTCCTACCAATCCAGGGGCGGATCCAGTGTGTGGGGAGGATTTAGACAGTGGAGAACCCCCACCCTCTCCCCCATAAAAAGAAGAGAGATAAAAGCAGGAAGAGGAAAACACGGTACCGTAGACCTACACCAAACGAAGCTAAATTTTGAATTAAATTCCATGTTAAGCATTTCTAAACCAAAATCTCAAATAAATCCCCAAATCCCCCCCCCACCCCCTTCTCACCGCTCGTTCTTCGCACGTCGCAAGCCCCTACTCAGATTTTCTCTATCCGACGGACCTGTAATCGCGTTTACTCTGATGGAAGATTATGGGATAACCACTTAAACGATATCAAAGAATTCAAATATATTGTAATGTCAATACACCAATAATGTACATTCTTATCACAAGGCTTTACATACAGTATCCAATACTTAATCAAAGGTGTTTTAGTGTGTATGTACTCAGCACATATTTTATCAAGCCCAATGAATAACCACAGTCCAACATAATCTTCTAGTTCAGTGTCAATATCTAGAGCATAAGTTAATAATTACTATGGATACTATCACTAACCTTGAAAGGGCTAGCCTCTGGATGAACCCCCCTTTCGCAACTGACTCAACTAAAAATAGAGTACCATTATAAGGTCACGTGGCATAAAGTATGACTTGTAAAATAGCCGGTATACGTTCCACGGTTTAGCTAAATAATGTCCCTTGAAAATTAGGAAAAATCATAGGCCTCCTACTAATTTGAAATTAACTTTCTCATTTTGCAGTTCATAGGTCTAAATGTGTTCCGCTATAAAATGTAGCCTATGGGTAAATATTTTTAAATACACTCATTTCTATATTCAAGTTTATAAATGTTATGAATTTTTATTTTGCATGGGGGAAATATATCTGTAAATATACACTGTTTGCCAAAATAAAATCAGAAAATCATCAAAAAATCAATTAAAACTCAAATAAGTTATTAACTTCCGGCCTGAACAGGCCGAAAATAAAGTTAAATCAACAAAATAAATTAAAGTAATAATAATACTCAGAAGTCCATTCTGAACACTGTTATTATTTATCTTTTTGTTTAATTTAATATTATATATAGGCCTATGTAAATGTTAAAGACTAGGAATATGAAAATGAATATGAAAAAGGTCACACCGACTGGGATTCACACCTGTGACCTTCTACTAAGTTTTAGACGCCTTTAAGCAACTGACCACCATACGCCCTCAACTCCGAAGAGATGCTTTTTATTAATAATAGCGCGTTTATTGAAGGCAGGATGTCAGTTAACAACATAAATATTATAATCAATACGAATTTCTTGTCAGGTAGGTCTCCTAACTAAGTACTTAATCAAATATATCTTAGAGCGTGTAGGCCCCATCCACTTGCACAATTTTCTTGATCAGGACCATGATAACATTCGCAGTTCAAACTAACGTTTTAGTGCAGTGTCATTATCTAGAGCAATAGTTAATAATTACTTATTATCATTAACCTTGACAAGGCTAGCCTCTGAATGAACCCCCTATCGCAACCGACTGTTTCTCATACAGTAATAGAAACATTCATGGACATGTGACATTATTATGAATAGGGCCTAGTAGTCGGCCTACTTTTACGGTAATGTAGGCCTACTGGTAGGACCATTATGTGTTTAGCGTGTAATGGCACACTATATATCCATTTTCAAATTAAAAAAAAAATATTGAGTGTGGGCCGCTTGGATCTGCCACTGAAATACTCATTATAATTTTTTTTCAATTTATCCCGGTAATCATAATCATGCCCGCTTACATATTTTGTGCAACTAACATTCATAAAAATAATTATTTATTATCTATTGATTATAGCTTGTGACATATTCGAAATAATAATAATAGTCGCTTTGCATTTACAGTACTTTTAAAATCAATCAAGAGGTCTTTCCTTTTCTCCTCTTTTCGAATTTCACTGTGCAAGTAGTAGGCTATTGTGAGTGACGTCTAACTTACGATCAAACAGGACTATATAAGGAGATAAGCGCACAAGACATTAGTGAGTATTTGTATTTCACAAACGTGTGATTTACTTAATTTATCATTATCATGATGTCATGGCGATATTGCGTCAGGTAACATCGGAGTTCGTAAACTTGTGGTATCACACTTAAATAAGTCGAAATAAACAGACCTATCCGTGACCAAGCTGTAGGCCTATATTTATTGTTTAATGACGGCTATATAGCATCAATTGTCTAACTATATATTTTTTTAATTAGGAAAAACAGGAATATGTATGCAGATAATATTGAACACTAGTACGGGTCTCAATAATATATAAAACGAATAAATCGTTCATAGTAGAAATTGTGCACTTTTGAGTTTGTAAAAATGTTGGCCTAATTGGTTTACACGCTACCAATTTTAACAACACAGTAGGCCTACATTGTTTTCATAATAAACCGCACTTGGAACAGAGCACAAGTGAAAAGACAAAATTCATGTGTCATTCGTAATTGTTTGTTTCTTTCACTCGCTTTGAAAAGTGGGGTTTTAACTATAAAAGGTTGGTGAAAAGTGGTGGGGGGGGGACAATTGATATGGCCCCCCTACTTTCAAAAGTGGGGGACGTGTCCCCTGTCCCCCACCGATCGACGTCCATAAATAGTGCTATTTGAAGACGCACTATGAACAGTGATATTAAACCCCTCATCTTATGCGTATGTAATATACACATCTAGATGTGTATAAGAGACAGATATAATACCGTACTTAAGTATATAAGACGTGATAAAGACGTGAGATGACAACGACTTGGACATATTTCTACCCGTGCTCGGGTAA